AGGTTAAACTTAGTTGGATGCAAAATTACCAAATGATCTCATCTATTATGAAATATACAATTTGCTTGTAGGGGCATAATAGTCTTTAACTTAATTAGTATTTTAAAAAACCAAAAAAAGGAGAAAAAAGATAAATAAGCTCCTAGCTTTTAGAAGATGCCACATCATACATAGTGGTTTCTTCTTTAATATATATATATATATATATATATATATATATATATATATATATTTGAAATATAATATAATGTTCTTATAACAACCTTTGATGATGTAGACATTTATTTACGAATTTTTTTTTGAAATGGTCAAAAAAATGAAAAATAAACTTGACATTTATATTATTAAATATTACAAGATTAACATATTATCGGTTAAATCAGTAAAATAAATAAGAATTTGAAATTTTGTTACGTAAATAAGATTTTATAATATTAATTGAGAAAAAAATATTTGCAACCTTAAATAATAACAACACAAAATTCGATAATTTTGCCAAAAAAAAAAAAGAATTATTTACAGTTTTTTGTGCAAGAGACATCGCGTAGGAATACTAACCAATTTTACGATGATCAAACCACCGGTTGCAAGAATTTTCGGTATCATTGAAATCAAAAAAAGTATTTACAAGTTTTCCCCAAAAATTAACACAACAAATTACTCCTGTTACTATAAAAATCATCAGTTTCATCATCACCACTATCAAATTCACAAGTAAATTCAAGAGCAAGACCTAATTGATCATCAAGATACCTCTCCAACAGATTCACTTCCACCACCACCTGTCCTCCGCCTTCTACATCACACGGAGGACCTGATTTCAACCGACAACGCTTGCGGCTACCACGGCAGAAATGGAAACAGATTTCAACGGCACAGAGCACGGGAAAACTCACGCATAGGATCGGGATGAGCAAAGGCAAACAGAGAGCTAGAATTAAGTACCTTAACCGACGACCGTTCAGCCACGATCTCAGAAACAAAGCCATTGCCGTCGTCGGATTGTGTAATTGGACGGCGGCATCATAATCGTCGTCCTTGAGGATCAACAGAGGTTTTTGTGGATCGTTTTCGCACTTTAACTTGGATTTGGAAGGAAAACAGAAGAAGAAAGAATCACACATGATTCGATCGGAGGAATCGGACGGTTGATGATCTCAGCATCGCAGCGAATATGTGAGAGAGATTGAGAGAGATTTTGGACAAGTGGTTGAATAATGGATGCACCCCCACATGAGTTGCTATACACATGCCCACATGGGATTCCCACATGCCAACTATACTACCTGACTTTATTGTATTTTTAGGTTAGTTTTGGTGCTCCACGTCACCTTATAAAAAAACTTTTTTGTCCGATGTTTAATATGGAAATTAAAATATAGGAAAATTGAATGAATATTTCTTACATTTAAATTTGTCTCTTAATAATTTTTCTTTCAAATTTATCCGAATATTATTACTTGTATAATATTCAGATTTGCAATATTAGCTAGGTCCGCAATATTCGTTAAAACACAAGACAACTAGTTTACCGTCGTAATTGTGGATCTTGTCGTCACTATTGCGGACCTAGCCGTCGCAATTGCAATTTTGTGTTGAATCAAATGAAACCCCAATTCAAAAGAACCCAAACCACTGAAACCCTAAATACATGTGAATCAAAAGATGTTGTGGGTTTTATGCAACTTTTGCTTTGGGAAGTGGTGATGACTTGTTGTGAGAGAGGAGATGACCAACGATGGGAGACAATGAGCTAGCTGACTTACAATGGGGGACGAGGCGATGACCGGTGACAGGGGGAGGAGGAGATGACCAACGATGGGAGACGATGAACTATTGACCTATGATGGGGAAGGAGGCGATGACCTGCTGTGAGATAGCTTATATCATAGATCCGGTAATATGATAAGGGGCACTCCTGTAATAACTATGGTTGAGTGTTAAGGACATGTATACCTTGGTTGTGCGAATAAGCACCTGACTGAAGTATTAAGCCACAAACGAACACTCCTTTATAGCTTACCGAATAAGCCATATAGGTTATGCAGCCCATTAAGCCGCAACTGAATAGTCCCTTAATGAAAAATCAACCAAACAACCCTAAAAGTGTGAGACATTGAGTAATTCACATACTTCCTTTCCAAATTAATTATCCACGTTGATAATTTAATTTGTCGCAAAATGAAATATGAAATTCATTACTCTATTTATTATTGGAAATAAAATTAAACCAATCATAATAATATCGTTTTAACAACATAAACATAAAAATAAAATTTATTGCTATTTTACATATAAAATTGTGTAAAATGAAAGCATAAAACCCATCATCGACTTATCCAGCAATTTTCTTAAATTGGAAAATAAAAATAAAAGGATTTTTTAATGCCTAAAAAAATTAAATAGAAAAATAAAAAAAGAAATTGAAATTGAAATTAAGGGACCGCCATAAAAACGAGGAGATAGGGTAACAAAAGCTATCACGAATCAATTGATTTGTTGATAGCAGCAAGAAGTGTGACAATGGAAGCTCTGCTGAGCTCTTCACCGACTCTCCGACTCCGACCACCGCTTCCTCCCTCCTCCTCCTCCAAACCCTCACTTTCTGTCTCTACATTCACACCGCCCTCCACCAAAACCAAAACAAATTTTCCCTTTCATCGTAAAAGCTCACAGTTCAAACCGAAGCGTTTTCTACGAGTTGCTGCGAGTTCTTCGGCGAGATCTGCAACTGAAACGGCCGTAGATTCTTTAACTGTGCCGTCTCAGATGAAGGCGTGGGTGTACGATGAATATGGTGGTGTGGATGTGTTGAAATTATCTTCGAATGTTACGGTGCCTAATGTTAACGATGATCAGGTTTTGGTTAAGGTTATAGCTGCGGCTCTTAATCCTGTTGATTGTAAAAGAAGGATTGGTAAATTTCAGGCAACGGATTCCCCTCTGCCGGTAATGTTTCCGGTTGCTTTAATTGAAATTTATTTTATAGGATTGATATTGCTGTATGTTAATCCGGTGTGCATTCGATGCTCCCTTCCCCTCAAATAAGCAAAACAAATTTGTTTGAAAATATTTCTTTCAGTAGCATTACTTTTTATGAAATCTACATTGGATCATAAACTTGCTGTCAAATTCGTCCGGAATGTGACTACGAGCACAAACAACCAGGATTAATTTGTATATTTTTTCTTAAAAAAGTCATGGTGAGAGTTTGAGAACAGTAGGTACAATAGAGGATACCAGTAGACGACGTGAATGGACCAATATCAATATTATCGTAATAAAATTGCCGCATAAGAAAATAAAAAATATCGACAACATTTGCACAACATTACTCTGTTTTGTATCTATAGGGATAAGATATTTGATTGATGATCAAACAATTATACAATTAACACAATTCTTGATGTTAAGAACTTCTTGGGAGCACAATAACCCACTTAACAACAATCTTAAATTCAATTTCTGTTTGGTGCTATCTATATGGATTTGCTAAATCAAAGGTGTCAAATACCAAGGTGAAAATGCTATGATAAGTTGTACATTGTGTTCCAGAAGTTGTAAATAAACTTTGGTTTTATTACTATTTCTTTAGGAACGGGTTGGATTTGGGGATTTGGATTTCAAATCCATTCCAATCATATGTATGGTTCGTTGGATTGTCTGGATTTGAAATCCTAGGATTTAATTGAAATCCTACAAACATAAGATTTTGAAATCCTTAGGGGATGCTCAAGATTTCATGGGATTTCTTAGGATTGTATGCAGTAAAGTTTTAAAAAATGTTAAGAACATTTGTATTGTAATAATAGATTAAAAAATGTAATTGAATTATTTTTATTATATTTATAAATAATGGAATCCAATTCCATTCCAAATCCTTCAAACCAACCACATCAATGATTTCAAATCAATTCCAATTGAAGTCCCTCCAAATCCAAATCCCTCAAAAATAATCATGAAAACCAAACGGACCTTAGAGAATTGGGATTACCCTTTTCACATACATCCTTTTCAAGAATAGGTTTAGTATTGCAAATGTACCCTTATTAGCTAGGGACTTGGTGGATGCTAAATATGTGGTGGTACCCCTGTGAAAGTTGTTATGTGTTTAGTTTAGGATAATCTTTAACAATGACAAGAATGATAAATCTTATGTACTAAGTAAACCAAACCAAATAAACCCAGTAAATCCCATACAGAGGTAGGTAGACCTTATCTCTTGGGGTGAAGAGACTCTCTACTTCAAGACTGCTAGCTGTGTACTAATATCAGTATTAGTTCAAGAGCAAATCAGCAAATCTCTAATTGGAAAATCATTATTCTTTTACTATAGGGTGTTCATCGAAATCTTTGTGCTCTATGTGTGGTCGTTCGTCTTTTGCTTGGTTATCTGCAACATCCTTTCTGAATCAGTTCTCTTTTCGGTAACAGACTGTTCCAGGATATGATGTTGCTGGTGTGGTGGTTAAGGTCGGAAACCAAGTAAAAGGTTTGAAAGTAGGAGATGAAGTGTATGGAAATATAAGCGAGAAAGCACTGGATGGGCCTAAACAGTCTGGTTCTCTGGCCGAGTACACTGCTGTTGAGGAGAAACTACTGGCTTTGAAACCCAAGAACTTAGATTTTCTGCAGGCTGCCAGTCTCCCTCTTGCAATTGAGACCGCATATGAAGGTCTAGAGAGGGCCGGTTTCTCAGAAGGTAAATCAATCATAATCTTGAATGGTTCTGGTGGAGTTGGATCGCTTACGATTCAGGTAATTCACTTCATTATTCTAATATCTACCTTCCATCCCATAAAGCTAGACTCCTTAGCTTCGACCTATGAGTAATATGCTAAGATTTGTCGATGCAGCTTGCAAAGCAAGTATTTGGTGCTTCAAAAGTAGCAGCTACGACTAGTACACAAAAGATTGAGTTGCTGAAAAGGTTAGGTGCTGATTTGGCAATTGATTACACCAAAGAGAACTTCGAAGAATTGCCAGATAAATACGACGTTGTCTTTGATGCCGTTGGTAAGACCATGGTTGTAGTTTTGTTAGAATCAATAATCATGCACATAATAGGAGTTGTAGTTATATGAAACGAAAAATAAAGCACATGTTATTTTTTGTGGTTAAGCTATATGCCTACATGAGGGTTTGTAAGAATATTAGCTTAACCAGCAAATAAAGTTAGGCTTTGCTGTCCCTTCCCATAGGTTGTCAGTTTGAGTCTCCTCAGGACTAACGGAGATTTCTTCTGTCCATTATCTTCATGGTCTTATGGTATTAGATGAGGTTTGTGCAAGCTGGGCTGGACATCCATGATTTCCAAAAAATTTGACCTACCCATCTATGGTCTGATTTTTTTTTCCTATAATAGGTGTAGCTTTCCAAACCAAATCAAATGTACCGGTATGTTCCACTTGAATAGGGTTAGTCTTCCTTACCACTAGTGAATTCGCGAATTATATAATATGGATGCTTACAACCACCATGAATGTAACCAAATTCCCAAACCACTTATTTGATTTCTCATATTTTCTGACCAATATTGTGAGCGTGCTTATTGATCCAAGTAATGGATGTTGTTTTGGATGCAGGGCTCGGGGAGAAAGCAGGGAAGGTGGTGAAAGAAGGGGGAATCATGGTGGTCCTAACGGGTGCAGTGACACCACCAGGGTTCAGGTTTGTAGTGACCTCAACTGGTTCCACCTTGAAAAAACTGAACCCGTACTTGGAGAATGGGAAAGTGAAGCCAGTGATTGACCAAAACAGTCCATTTCCATTTGACAAGGTGAAGGAAGCTTTCGCGTACCTGGAAACCAATCGAGCTACCGGAAAGGTGGTTGTATATCCTGTTTCTGAAGAGTATATATTGGAAAAGATGGCACAGAATATGTAGAGCAAACATGAGGTCAGTGTCTTCAATAAATGATATTTTTTAGATTAGTTTTTGTTTTTCTACTTTCTTTCAAGATGTACTCTTTTGTTCTCATACATTTTACCAATTAAAATTAACCCACTATATTCCATTTGGAGGCGGGGTGTGTATATATATATATATACAAACCTGACCACTACTCCAAAGAATAGAACTGCCGTTCCCTTGAAAACTCATGACTTCCATACAGAAAAGTTGTCAAACTTCATTTGTGGTTTGTCGACCGTTTCGATGCTCAATCTGGGCTGGGCTGTCTGAATCTCAACTTGTGAAGTGAGAGATTGTGGTTGTGTTTTCCACAAGTAGGTTCTTCTGTTGATGCTTCGTTTGGGGTTGTAATTTTCAACTTCTTAGCATCAGACGTCGTATCATTTACAGTTTACAAGGTGGTTCAAGGTTTCTTTTGCAGTCTCAATTGGGTATCGGTTAGAGGTGGTCGTGAAGGACCGAAATCAGGACAGGTTGGGAGGTGAGTCCCTACCGGTTAAGATCTTTGGCAATGAACCAGGCAAAGGGTCGGTCACAGAACCAGTCAGACCGACTTTTTGGAATTTTCTTTGATATGTTGGCATATTGTAAAAAACAAACAAACCACGGTCGCCATGGAACGGGACTTTAATTGTCCAAAGCTAGTATGGTACCTTTTGAATTGGCATCTTATTTTTAGTGACGTGATGCTTTTGTAACGAAGAACATGAGTTACACTGGAGTCACTTGAGGGTTGCGTTTGGTTCAATGTTTGTTTATTTGGAAGGATTGATTGACCCCACCTTCTAGAAGGTGGATCTGCTCATATCGATGATGATTTAGCCGACGAGAAAGAAAGAGTCAATATTCAATAACTCCAACCATGGAAGATGATGACTAATTAATCGACAATCGTCACAATATTCTCATTTTTAACTTTTACGAGTTTTAAATAATTTTTTATATATTTTTGAACAATTTTATAGTTTCAGAGCATTAGATTTTTTTAATAATCAAATAAATAAAACAATATTGATTGTAATAAATGATCTTCTTATGTTTTAACATATATATTAAATAAATGGACATAAGTTTTATTAAAACAACTTCAATAGTTTTTCTATAATTTTTTTAAATAGAGAATTAGAACATAAATTATTTTAAAATAATTACATCCGTCTTCAACAAAATAATCATTGTTCTCTCTCACCGTCAAGTTTTAAGTTATTCTCTGTATTTAGAGTTTTTTTCATGATTCTCTATTTTACAGAACAAGATAGCAAAGTCTGTTGGAGCATTTTAAAGAATAAAAACTCACCTTTTTCCACTTTAGAAAAGCTGTTGGAGATGTCCTTATATAATAAACCAAAGAGACCAAATTAATGAATCCCACACTGAATAACCATGGAATTTCTTTGTTATCGTATTTCTGGAATATGAGTGTATGGCTTGTTATAATTGATCCTATTGATAGTAGGGGTGGCAAAAAATGACCCAACCTATTAACTTAATCCGGACCCAACTCGGAGTTAGCAAGTTGAGTTAAGATTTTCAACTCATTTAAATAAATGGGTCAACCCGTCTAACCCATTTAAATAAATGGGTTGGGTTGGGTTGAATTTTTTAACATGTTTTCAACTAACTTTAAATATTATATAAATTTATTTTATTCTTAATATTATATCTATTTTATTTTTATTTTGTTTCTTCTTAAATATTGGCCTAAGTTTCATGATGACTCTTCGTTTTCAATCCTTCAATGCTTATAGAAGTTCATTGAAGTCTTCTACAGTTGAGACTATTATTTGTCTAATAGATTGGGTATATGGAGAAGGTTTGTTTCTAATTTATTATTTGTATATTTCCTCTTATCGTATAAAACCATGTATTTGCTATAAGGCTGTAACTAAGTTAATAATTTAATTTATTTACGTAGTACAAATGAAAGCGCATCTTGAGGCGCTATGTGGAGCAATCATGATAGAGAAGATAGAAGATCAAGAAGAAAATAATACCGAAAGTGAAATTGGGGTTGATGAAAGTGGAAGTCGAGTTACTTACAATTTAAAAAAATTCAACTTATTTTGAACAATATATTTGTTGTGTTTATGTTTTATTCAGACTTTGAACAATTTGGTTGTATTTGTAGTTGTGTTATGCTTTATTCAAAAAAGTTAAATAGTCTAGTTCTTTTTTTATTTAAAATTTTAAAATTAAATAGGTCAACCCAGGTTCAACCCATTTATTTAACAGGTTGGGTTAAGAAAATCATAAACATGTCAATTCGCTATCAACCCATTAACCCAACAGGTTGGGTTGGGTTAAAAAATCTCAACCCATTTAATTAAATGGGTTGGGTTGGGTTGGGTTGGGATTTTCAACCTGTTTAATAAATGGGTTGAACCCGAACCCAACCTAACCTGACCCATTGTCACCCCTAATTGATAGTACAGAGAATGGGTTTGCCATCTTCATATAGATGGTCCTACTTCGTCAGATATTTATTCTAGTATCTGGAACATGGAATAGACCAGTTACAGTAAGACCCGTACAAAAAAGTATGGGTTCAGATAAAGGCTCTCCTAAATATTAGGTAGCTGTTGTTAAAAATGAGTGGAGTAAAAAAAAAATAAGAATGTAAGATATATCTCTAGTTAAATGGTAAAAGAAGAATATTCTCATAAAAATCCCCGACTTGTTTAATAGTTAATATTTAACAATAACGTCATTAAAAAGGGATAAGCTCAACCATGTCTAGCATGGGTAGACGTTGTATCTATGAAAATGCATCTTGCCTTCTTCCAATGTGTATTCATAAATTGGATTTCTTTTTTATACATAATTTATCTACGACAAAAACCAAATAAAATTACATACCTACCATTTCGTTGAGAAAATTTTAAAGAGATTAGAAATACAAAAACGACATAAAAGAGAGGCGTTGTATTTTGAGAACTAATACAGTTGAGGGTTTATTAATTTCTTAAAACAATATAATGTTAGACAGTACAAAAACATTTTATACAACTTATTTCTTAAACATTAATTTATACCCCTCGATCTACAACCATTTCGAGTTATTGAAAATATGCATGAGAAGAATAAAAAACTAATTAATTAGTCATACGGAAAGAGAGGGGGAGATACCGTGATCAAGACACCAGAGATCGAAAGTAGCATTTAGAAAGTTGTAGTACCCTCCTTTTATGCTAAGTGTTTTCTTCAACACTGCTTCTTTTACGAATGGGTAAGTCAATAGGTTTCCCAAAGATATATTCACAGCCTCCTGCATACCGTCCCATATATTCATTAATTTTAAATAATTTATTAGAAGTTAATTAATTAATTACCTTCTCACACTTGCTGCATTGTTCTGCAAACTCCAAATCGCCACATTCTGTTTTCACCTTGCTTCTAGCAGTAGCACATATTTTTACCCAATCCTCTATGAAGTCACTGCATACATGCCCATATGATATATACAACATGTTCATTAGTTTCTCCCCATCTTTCAATTTGTTTGAAATTGATCGATGTTCTCTAATTCAGTCAGCTTTACAAGTTAAGTTACTTACTTACTTAGTGAGAATATATATATAGGTGGAGATTTAAATGAGAACACCTCCATTTTACGAGAACGTAAAGACATCCTTATCACATCTGATAATGCACGTGAGGGGATCCTGTGATGTGCGGACAATGTGTTCTACGACTTAGGTCGCACCAAAGGTTGTTTACGTCTATGATTTAGCATCACATGTAATAGTCTTGATAGATTATAGTATCATATCAACAACACCCTTATCACATGTGATAATACATGTGAGGGGGCTTAGTGGTGTAAGGGCGACTTGACTCGCAACCGAGATTGCAGCGAAAATCGTCCGCGTCTCTGATTTAGTATCACATGTGCATCATATTTGATGAAATAATAGTATCACATGTGATTGTCTATAGTAAAAATGTGTTCTCGTGTTCTCGTAAAATGAAAGTGTTCTTGTTTGAATCCTTCCCATATATATATATATATATATATAGGGTTGGGCTCGAGACAAGCCTGTTTTCGTGAGACATGATTTTTACACTTGAAATTTCACAACAAAATGTTGTGAAGGTAAAAAAATCGATCTTCACAACAAAAACACTGTGAATGTTACCGTCACAGTGTTTCAAGTGTACAATCGTGTCTCACGAAAACAACTTTGTCTCACATGATCCCAAATATATATATATATATATATATATATATATATATATATATGAGGGTAAAAAGATTCGTAAATTATGTCTACAAGACTTTTCAGAATATCCTTGGTCACAGCTATTATTCGCGTTGGAACATCTTTACAAGATTTGGGATTCATGATTGTATATTAAAGTTTAAACTGTTCAAAGTTTATTCCATAAGAAACTTTTAATGTTTTTATGTTGCGTTTGAGTTGAAATAAGTCAAAAAGAGAAAGTTGCTGTAAAATTTAACATAAATATCAGTTAATTGGCTGAGGTTGGTATTACTTACGAATGAGTGGTTCCATCGTCCGGGATAGACATGAGTCCTTTAATACCACCACAGCAACTGTGTCCAATTACTAAAATATTCTCCACCTGATCAACAACAACACACACTTATTCTCCCCATAAAAAATACAACAGCATCCGAAAGAGGCCAATTAGAAAGAATAAACATTGACCGTTGATTCTTCTCCCCTAGCTAGCTAGTGCTTGGATGATCTTTAATTTAATTGCTCCATGCCAATCTAATTAAAAGCAACTAAAAGAATACTCATCCAATACAATAAAATACATTTCGATTTTAATATTTTATTTTATTCTGTCTTTGTCGATGTTATAATATCATTTTATGTGTTTTTAAAAAAACAATAATTATTTTATTTTTGAATAAGATATAAATTTGAAGATATCATAAGAATTTGAAAAAAAAATCAATGTTAATATCAAATCAACTATTTAAAAGTTCTTATTTTTTATGTAATTTCTTTAATTTATTTTTTTCTTATAATTTAATTTAAGTTTAATAATGAAATAATTTATTTTTGGTTTAATAATATAACATAGTATAAAGATAATAATTAAGTATTCTATTAGAACTCAATAATTATTTTAATTATATTTTACATATTTTATATTTTTTATATTTAAAATAAAATATTTATCACGTATTTGATTATGTTTATCTGCAGTTAGTTACACGAATTCAGATATAAAGCTTTAATAAGTTATACTTACACATAATTTACTTGTTATTTTAAGTTTTAAGTAATATCCATCAATAAACAATAATTTATGCATAAAAAATAGTTTTTATTAAATGCTTTATAATATAGTATAGAAACAACATTAAGAAATCAATTATTGAATGATCCCATTAATCCAAGATGTGATATATATATATATATAGCTAATGTAAGACATACTATTTCAATATCATCTCTCATGTATAACATGTAGACCAAATAAAATTCTATTGTCGCTCACTACTCCACCATGCACGTGAAATCACATCATCTATTTATTGTGAAGAGATAATAGTTAAATAAATTTATAGTAAATAAAAATAATGACTGGGTTCATGTGATTGGTGGAAAAGAACACTACATCAAAATTTGAGTCAAAATATTTTTATCCATGGTCCAGACAAACAAATGCATTTCTAAATACTGTACGAAGATGGTACAGGAATGATCATTAAACTTTGTTTGCTTACAGTAATTTTAATTGCCAGGAAAAAGAGAAACATAAATTATGCTTCCTTTTTTTTCCTTTTTGTTATGAATATATTTAAACGATGGCACTAATAGTTATTGCGGTGAAGTGATAGTACTGGCAGGAGGCTCGATGTTAGCACTAGTGATCAATGCATACTGTTGATGGTCATGGTCCTCATGGATGTTGCCAATGTTGTAGGTGGAAAGGTGGTGACTAGTAATGGGTAGTGATAAATTCATGTTGAAGTGGTTATTTTTCTAGTGCTGATATGATATCTATAACATTATGCCCCAGTTTATTCACAAAATGTTTTGTCAGCATATGAGAAACATTAACATCTCCAAGTTTATACTCAATTAGACAACAATGATTAAATTTGAATTACCCTCCACAAGTTTTTAGACTCTACCATTAATATTCCTGATAAATATATAACAATAAGGTGGGAAAAATGAAACAAGTCTCATTACTCCAGTTTTATACTTTCTTTTTATTTTTATCAACTTTATATATACTTGTCGTCTCAAAAATTCACAACAAGATTCGGTATAAATGTTATGGACAAAGACCTCAATAAAATAGCATATGAATAAAGTTCACTTTGGTAAAAAAATAAGACATTGTCTTTAGGATATCATGGTTTACCTTTGCCATAATGGTTTTGGGGTAGGTATGATAAAGACGTATAGAAGGATGACATAAACCTTTTTCTTTTATAATTTTTATAATTTCCTATGCTTTTTATATTTGTTATGTTTAATTTGATTGGTTTTAATATCATATTGAAATCCTTTATAATGGGAAGGAGCTACATGTGACAAAGAGGGGGAACATGGGGTTGACCAACTATATCCTCCACCACCGTCAGGAAACTTCCTTTATTAAAGAAGAAATCCGTTCCACTAGAGAATAAAGTTAGGTATAGTATAAGGTCCAAAATGATTATAATTAAAGAGGGTTGCATAATATCACCTTCAGATGCAATACTGCATATTCAATAGCTGCCCCAGTTCCAGAGTATTTTGTCTGCATAAGAAAACAATTATTCAACTAAAAATGTATGCAATCTCACAATCATTGCAAAAAGTACCGACGATCATCCAAAGAGGCTACGACTTACTGTTTGATTTTTTTCAATTGAAAAACGATATCCTATTTGTTTACTATATCATTTTCATTAACAAAATTGTATGGACAAAGACCTCAATTACCACATGAATAAAGTTCACTTTAGTAAAATTTTGCAACATTGTCTTAATTAGTGTGGAACGGCCGGCCCAACATTCTCAAAAGGTTACCACTCATAGCCATAGCAATATTGTATCTGACTAATCAAATTTGCTCGTCATAAATGAAGGCACCTACTGGCCTACAAACACTCCAAACTAGCAGGTCCATGTGCTAGATGGCATGTTTGTTATGCTTAAAAGATGCTAACTGGTATGCCTATTAATTAAGCTAAATAAGTTAAGAAAATATCACCTTGTCATATGGGGGGACCATGCTAGCAATGTTTCGAACCATGAAGGCTTCTCCTGGCTGGAAATCTAGGATGTGTGATGGACAGACCCGTGAATCCGAGCACGCAAATACCATGAACTGCATTTGAAATTTAAGCAAAAAATTGAAGCCCCGTAATCAGAACATAAATGCAGCAAAATTTCATCAAGAATATATATACATATGTATATAAACACACTCACAATTACACTACAATTGTATCTACGTTTCGTGTCAAAAATTACCCTACAGTCTCCTCAATAGAGGGTAGAAAATTTTCTTGTTCATAGGCAGCGAGTACAAGTATATTTAGTCAGTGCATAACAAAGACAGGAGATAGATGACCTTGGGGGTTTGGCCTTTCCCAAGCTCTTCGAATAAACCTGGGTTCTTCCTGCAGCAAATAGGAACACAATTCATGAACCTCGATCAAAGTGATAACTAACAACAAATTAAGCCAATCAAGAAACCAGGGTCGAAACGTGGAAATCGAACATGGGGATTTGAAAAATGGCATTAAAAATAGCAGGACAGAAATGACATCATAAAAATTCTTTATATAAATGTATGTGAATTCTCATATCCTTTTCTTGTCAAAGATCCAAGTAAATAAATAAATAAAAATTGCATCTCCTTTTCTTGTCAAAGATTGAAAATAAATTTAAAAAAACAAGAATCAACAATAGAAGGACAAATAAAATCACCCAAAAAAAATGGAGTATGTAATTAGTGGGCATGATAATGATTAATTAAGGGTTATTTAATAAATACAAAGACAAAGCCCCACCCGTGACGGAAAAAAAGAGGACAAACTAATAAATTTCAGATCCGATAATAAAATGTCCTCAACAATGAATCATTGAAAAGTTAATAGTACGGTTTTCCACTAATAGACCAAAAAGATTGTACTCCTTCAGTAATGAACAATAATTGTTCGGGTATAGAAACGTACTCATATTTCTCTGTCTTAAAGTGAGCGAATCCGGTCTTGATCCTCTCGACCGGGTTAACTTCTTTGGCAGAGGCCGCCTCCAAATCGGCCGTTAGTTGCTTGATCTTCACGGCAGCGGCAGCTTCAAAGGCACCATTCTCACTGCAAAACCGCCAAACAGTACGACGTAAAATAATGACGATATGAAACATGAAAACCGAACGAGCCAGCTGGTTAACGGGGGTGAGGGCAGCACTACTAGCCGTGTGGGGGTCCCACACACATAAAGCGTGTGGACAAAAACGTCGGTTATGTCGAGTCTAGAGGTCTGCTGAAATCAAAGCGTTTGATCAATTAATAAGACAAGAAAAAAAGGACTATTCTTATCTGATCATCATCTACGAGTTAACGAATCAACAATCGTGGTCATGGACATAAATTCAACAAAATCGAGAGAAAACCTAAGAAGCTTCTTCAGTCCTTCAATGGCTTCGTCGCATGAATAACCTTCCGCCATTTCTTCTAGCTGCGAACGTCACGAAATCTGATATACAAAAGGAGTATACGAGTGTGAAGACAAAACAAACTAAATCAGATTAAGATACAATCGAGTTTGATCAAACATACATCTTCAACAATACATCTATCAGATCACTTTCAAATACATATGCCTATTAAACAATCAAAAATCCAGAGAATAATATGATCGATCACAAAAGCAGAAACTATCAACCATCGATCCCATAAAAAAGGAAAAATAACAATGAAACGATGAACGGATGTAGTGTGATTATGAGAAAGTCGATCGATCATGATTCATGATGAGTACTGCTAGATCGAGTGCATTAAAAACCTGATGGTTGTGGAGGAATAGGGATTGTGATTTGATCGGTGCTTGAAACTCCGATCAGCTGCTGATGGATGAAGATGAGAAGCTGAAGAACAGGTCAGACCACACACGTTTACCCCTCCGTAACCACCCTATTTATAGCTACATAAACGTCTCATTCTTCTAATATTATGTTTTTATTTAATTTTTTTCCTTAAATAAATACTAATATTTTCATTTTTAAAATATTTAAAATTTAAAAGTCAAATATTTTTTAATAAGCCAAATTAAATGTTTTTTTTTTTTAAATCTGGATATCCAACCCGCTATGCGAGCCGACTAATCTCAGGACGAACACTTGCTTTGCAGATAGCCCGGAGTCACCACATTTGAACCTCTGTGGCTACAAGAGGATTTTTATTCCTCCTTGGATTTGGACCTGAGACCTCCAGGTACTTTTGACCTTTGGAGTCAAGCTCAAACCAATCAGACACCACCTGTGTGGTTGCCAAATTAAATGTTGAAGTTAATGGATTTAGTTATGAAAGGTGTGTAATAGTGTTTCAGTGATCAAATAAATAATTCATATGCATTTTGAAGGATTTTTAAACTTATGACTGTTCTAATCCGGTTAACCTAAAAGATGAAGTTTTACATGTTCTTTGGAACTCATGGAGGATTTTTATTATGTGAACTATTTGAACATGTCTATAAAAGTTCAATAAGTATGTTTGAAAACTTCCCTTTAATGACGGTTCGTTATTCAGAAAATCAGTATTTGATGGTAAATTGAGTTACGAACAAACTTTATGTCAAAAACAAGTTTTACGCATACCTTAAGTTCATACATGATGTTTTGATGTAAACTTGGGTAAAGCGTAACTACGAATTCTTTAGTTGGGAGTTCAATGTTGAAATTACATAGGTTGAAGTAGGTCAAGTATGTGTGGGGATGAGTTTTGAAAGTATAACGTAAACCATAAAGTGATTTGGTCGAAATTGATGTTTTCATTGTTGTTGGGCGTTGTAAGAATCATAATAAATCACTCGTAACTGGGATTTAAGCTTATAATAGTTTTCTGGAAATGTTAGGATGTCTTCTATAATCGATCTATTTTGAGAATGCTAATTCGGGCTATAGGTAGCTCCTAAAAACCGAATTTGGGCTATATGAAGTACCATGCACGTATCGTGCCAGATACTCGGCTAATAGGCAGAGTGTCTATAAGACACAACATGCACATGGTGATTATGCCGAAATTAGCCTAACGGATAAGTGAACTGCTTGGTAGTGCTCTTTCACTACTTGCGGTTCTTGTTGTGGGTCTCCCCCACGTGTTGTGATGGTTGTTACCTCGTTTCAAAATTTGTAACCACATCTTTTTAGTTTGTTCTATTACAGTAATGTATTTGTTTGCATATTACCAATGTTTACAAATCATGCATTGTTTTGGAACTCTTCGATCTGTTTGATTTTTTTATTTTGGTATAACGTTTTTTTATATAAACTCTTGAATTCACCGAGCATGAAGCATGATTTTATTTCATTTTTCGATGTGTATCCCAGGATCAAGATCAGAGTGTATTGTTGACGGTGTAACCATTGATAGGTAATATTATTGGTTGATATAGTGTCTTTGACTATCGCTTGAGACCGAAGATTAGTTGAAAATAGTATTCTATAGATTTAATATCAGCACATTTGGTGTATGTTTGTAAATAGTAGTTAATGTACACTGTGCTAATGCACACTTTTGGTTTTTAGGATTTGTTTAGTGTATATATAAATATAATTTACAGACTGTAAAACAGGCAAAGAACGGATTTACGAATAGGTCATATGCCGGAATTTTGGTAGATTTGCTAATATAAAAAGTAGGGTGTTGCAATATGTGAATCACGTAGGTTCGTATATGAATTTGTTTGCCGCCTATTTGTAAAAGTTACTAAACCACTCTCTCTATTTTTCGCATACTCACAATTTTTGACCAGTGGAAGTCGTAACTTTTTACCAGTCAAAACATCAATTATTGACCAGTAAAATCCAATCTTGACTGTATGAAGAGCTAGTATCATTTCTTTATTTCTCAAATATTTACCACTTCTTAAAATAGCCTTTGAAAATATGAGAAAAAAAAAATTAATCATGAGATGAGATTTTTAATGGCCAAGATCATAAGTGAAAAACATGTAATTATAGAAGAAAAAAATGGTGACTAATTAAAGAATTTGAGAAAGTTGAAAGGGAGCATTGAGACTTTTGTATAATTAAATCACTAAGTCAAATCATTAAATCAGTAATCCATATTTTTTTAAAATTATCCACTTTCCTTTTTAAATAATAATTAGACTACCTTTTTTCTTATAAATTAAATTACCTAAAATGTAGTCAATATTTTATTAAATAAATTATACCAGAAAAAAACGAGAATTTTATTAACTTTAATTTAAGACCCATGATATATATATATATATATATATATATATATATATATATAGAGGAGTGATCATATGAAAACCGTTCTCATTTGTGTAAACCGTGCAAACCATCTTCATCTGTCGATTTCATTGTTTAATCTTATGAAATTTTTTTATGAAATTGTTTCATATAATACTTTTTTTGATGAAGTTGTTTCATATATGGTTGTGAAATTGTTTCATATAATACTTAATGAAACTGTTTCATGTAT